AACTCCACCCCAAAACCAGAGTTGCCAGGGGTGGGGCCTGGAATCTGTATTCAGTGCAGAAGGGGATCTATTGAAATACACTGCTGAAGGGAGCAATGGGCAAGACAGGAGAGGTCTGCCGCGCCATATGGGTCTCCCTGGCTGGGGATTGAACTTAGGCCTCAGTGGCTAGTGAGAGCTTGATAGTTCTGAGACTTTAACCCCTGTGATACCAGGTAGGCCCCCTACATTTTCCAATTTTTTGATATCTTCTCAGTAACTCAAGCACTCTGGAACAAAAATTAAAAACTACCTAAGAGCCTCTGCCTCCTACTCACATTTTACTTTCACCTCAGGCTCCATGTTTGGCAGGGAAAACTCTGATCCTATCTTAACTTAAAATTTTGAAAACTTATTCATCCTGGATTTTTTTTTTTTTTTTTTTTTTTTTTAGTTATTTTGGCTTTTTATTTTCTTGGGGCCCTTCCTGGTGGCACAGCAGGTTAAAGCATCCTATGAAGCAATCTGCAGCCACTTCAGCACAATTTGATTCCCTGGTGTGGCAGACCTCTCCTGACCCGCCCTCTGTCCCCTCAGCAGTGTATTTCAGCCAATCTACCTGTTCTGCTTCCCACTCTGTGTCTGGTGAATCCTCTCACCACCCCCACACCTCTGGCCTGTATCCCAGTTCTTGTGTACATAAATTAATAATTAAAAATAAGTAAATAAATATTTTCCTGATAAATATATTTTTGCCATGCCCTTCAGTGTTGTTCCTGTGCCTTCCATACTTCAATCTAATCCAGGCCATAGAAAAGCAGGACGGAGACCTCCCCTGTTGGCACAAAGTGTTAGAGCACAGGACTGCAAGCTAGCCTCAGCCCTTCAGTGTGAGTTTGATCCCGGGCTTGGAGCTGACCCACATGGCATCGCAGACTTCTCCTGACCTGCTCGCTGCTCCCCTCAGCAGTGTACTTTGTCAATCTGCCTGTTCTGCTCCCCCTCTGTGTCTGGTGAATCCTTTCACTACCCCTGCACCTCTGGCCTGTACCCCAGCTCTGTATGCATGAAAACAATAATAATCAAATAAAATCTTTAAAAAAGAAAGAAAGAAAAGCAGGACAGGAAGGTTCATAATCCCACTGCCTAAACAGCCACAGTTAATATCTAAATCATTCATTGCGGCAGGTGGTTTGAGGTTTTAGAGTGGAGAAAGGGCATAATGGTGAGCAAGCCTTCCCCTCTCTGGACTTTGGCCCCAAGGAAGAGAGCTACATACAAACACACAGTGGAGATACTGCGCTCACTTCCAGACCACTGCAATCAAGCTAGCCTAGCCATAAAACACGTTATTCATCAGTTTTGGTTTCCAGTGCATATAAAAGTTATATTTACATAATACTGTAGGCGAATAGTCTGATAGTGTGCATTAGCATTATGCCTAACTAAACAGTGCACATACCATAATAAATGTGATGCAGAGACACGAAGTTAATACCTAATGTTGGAAAAAATGGCACCAAAAGACTTGGTGGAGACACAGTGGCCGCAAACTCCGATCTGTTTAAAAACCAAAGCAAAGCCCTACAATATCTACAAGGTGCAATACAGTAAAATAATAAAACTGTATGTCTATATATAATAATCTTTTAAAAATAAAGCAAAAGGCAATAAAACTGTATGTCTGTTATTGACCTAATCTTATAGACCTAATCTTAAATATATAGAGCTATATATAATTTGTATATATAGATGTATATAATTTCTTTTTTTTTTTTTAAGATTTATTTATTTATTCAGACAGAACTGGGGTATAGGCCAGAGATGTGGAGGGCGAGAGGCTTCACCAGAGACAGAGTGGGGAGCGGAACCTGCAGATCCACGAAGTACACTGCTGAGGGGAGCAGCGGGCCGGTCAGGAGAGGTCTGCCACGCCATGTGGTCATCTCCGGGGCAGGCGGGGATCGAACTCATGCATAAGTGACTTAAGCTTCTTAGTGTTGTGCTTTAATCTGCTGTGACACCAGGGAGGGCCAGATGTATATAATTTCAAAGAATTCACAAGAAACTGTTGACAATGGAACTTGGAAAGTGAGAAATGCATACAGTGCAACAGGATCATTTATTTTTGTTTAAGATTTATTTATTTATGCATACAGACCTGAGGTGCAGGCCAGAGATGCAGGGGCTATAAGGGGTTTACCAGTCAGAGTGGGGAGCAGAATAGGCAGATCGATGAATTACACTGTAGCAGGAGCAGCAGGGGGCTCAGGAGAGGTCTGCCACACCATGTGGGTCACCTCCGGGGCTGGGGGTCAAACTCACAACGAAGCAGCTGCAGCTGGCTTTCAGTGTTACGCTTTAACCCACTGCGCCACCAGGGAGGGCCCTCTTTTATTATTTTATTTCTCACTTTAATCTTGGGGATTACGGGCCCTCCCTGGTGGCACAGTGGGTTAAAGCACAGCACTAAGAAGTTGAAGCCACTTCCACATGAGTTCGATCCCCGCCTGCCCCGGAGGTGACCCACATGGCACGGCAGACCTCTCCTGACCTGCCCGCTGCTCCCCTCAGCAGTGTGCTTCGTCGATCTGCCTGTTCTGCTCCCCACTCTGTCTCTGGTGAATCCTCTCACCACCCTGCGCCTCTGGCCTGTACCCCAGTTCTGTATGTAGAAATAAAATAAATCTTTATAAAAAAAAAACTTGGGTATTACTTTTATTTGAAACAATCAATTTATTTTTTAATGTGAATATAAAGATGCATCTTCCTGGCTTCCAAGATGGCTGGTGGCTGCCCCCCACCCCCTTCTCCTGTTCTCATCTATCTCTCCAGCTTGTTACCCACCTTTCCTAGCTTGCTTGCTGGCGTGACATTGCACATCCTTTTACTGCCAGGATCCCCCCCTTCTTTTGATTGTACTCATCTCTACCTATATCAAACCTCCTACAGCCAGGGTGAATACCGATGATGGAATAAGGAATGATTAAGCTTTGGTAAGGCTGAACAACCTGGTGTGTGTGGTACAGGCAAACTCTCCATCCAGAAAGCTCCACTAGTATGAACCTAATGCTAAAGCCAGCTTAAGATGCTTTCATAGGTATAGCAGATGCCGTCTATATCCTGCCTACATCCCTAGCCCTTACCATTTCTGGGCACAGCTGTGTTGCACCTGTGCCTGAGGGAATTCTCTGTGTAGCCCACTCTACCTACATGAGGCAGGACCAGAAGGGCCAGAGGGAGAACCCATGCCATCATGGTATAGCCCGCCACTGTACTGAGGGAGTGAGAGGATCAGATCCCTGGCTCTGGGGCAGGGAGAATAAGGGTATATGCTCCAGACACCCTCCCCCCAACCTTGTCCAGCCAGTAGGATTCTGGCTACCGGGGCCTTCCCTGGTGGCACAGGGGTTAAGATGCAGCACTATGAAGCTATCTGCAGTCACAGAAGCACAAGTTCTATCCCCACCCAGGGAGCTGACCCACATGGTGCAGCAGACCTCTCTTGTCTTGCCCACTGCTCCCCTCGGCAGTGCATTTCAGTAGATCTGTTCTGCTCCCTGCTCTGTCTCTGGTGAATCCTCTCACCCCCTACATCTCTGGCCTGTACCCCTGCTCTTATATGCATAAATAAATAAACCTTTTTTTAAAAAAAGATTCTGGTTACCCCCAGCTGTGACCTGCTTGATGACCGTACCTTAGAGGGACCCCTTCTAGTTCCTATCTCATGCCACTCATCTATAAGGACTTCCTGGGGTCACCTCTCAAATAACTGCAATCTTTGTCTTGGGGTTGATTTCTGGAAAAACATCTGGGGAGAAGAAAAGTCCCCCTCCCTGAGTCAGGTGTTTTGGGCACATGTTTGCGTTCACGTTTGTTATGTTTGCTCATGTATATGTCATCAACATTTGTAGACCATTTTGTGTCTCCTGCCCTAATCATTTTCCTCAATTTCAATTCTTGATTACAACGATATCCCCCGCCCCATGTTACGCCTGCCTCGGTCCCTGGCAACCATTGTTCTAGTTCTTTTCTGAGTTTGACTTTTGATTATTTTCACATGTGAGATCATACATTATTTATCTTTATCTAACTTATTTAGCATAATTCCCTCAAAGTCCTTCCATACTGGAATATTTTTCATGGATGAATAATATTCTACTGTATATCTACAGTCACATGGTGACATGTTCTGGAAAATGAATTAGGCAATTTCATCCTTGTGCAAGTGTCAGGCTATAATTACACAAATCTAGATGGTGCAGTGTGCTGCACACCTGGGCTACATGTAGAGTCCAGTGGAACCAGCACTGTCCGTGTGAGTCACTGACACATCTTTACATGTGTGGTTGGAATACCATCTTCTTCATCCATTCATCAGTCGCTTAGGTTGTCTGCAAGTCTTACTGTTACTGTTACACGTGTTACTGTTAGTAAAATACTGCCGTGAACTTGGAAGTACAGATAACCCTTCAAGATACTGATTCCATTTCCCTCCGGAATGTGCCTGGAAATGGGACTGCTGAATCACAAAGAGTTTCTATTTTTCGGGATTGTTTGTTTGTTTGTTTGTTTGTTTTTAGTATATGATTTATTTACTTATTTGTATTTTACATCATTTTCGCTATTTTTTTATAAAACTCCACACTTCATTTATAATGCCCCCCTACCACCACCAATTTATAATCCCATCAATGGGATGCAAGATGCCCTCAAATGTCACTGACTTTGTTATTTCTTGTCCTTTCCAATGACAACCACCTTACCAAGTGGGAGTTGATACTGCTCGGTGTTTCTGATTTGCCTTTCTCTGATGACTAGTGATGTTGAGCACATTTTCATGGATCTGCTGGTCATCTTCTTTGGGGAAACATCTAGTCTGTTACTCTACCCATTTCTGAATCAGGTGCCTAGGTGTCTGTACTGTTGGGTTGCACGCGGCATATCGGCAATCGTCATGGCTTCCTTTTGCTCTGACTTGGCCTGGACCGAACAGTGATGTCTGTCATTCCCCCTTGCAGGCATCCGCCCCTACAAATGCGACGTGTGCAACAAAGCCTTCACCCAGCGCTGCTCCTTGGAGTCCCACCTGAAGAAGATCCATGGGGTGCAGCAGCAGTATGCCTACAAGCAGCGCCGGGACAAGCTCTATGTCTGTGAGGATTGCGGCTACACGGGCCCCACCCAGGAGGACCTGTACCTGCATGTTAACAGTGCCCACCCGGGTAGCGCATTTCTCAAAAAGACATCCAAAAAACTGGCGGCACTTTTGCAAAGCAAGCTGACGGCCACGCTCCAGGGGAATGCCAACCTGAGCGAGGAGGAGAAGTGAGGACGGTTGACATTGTGGCTGCATTGACATGGAATTTTGGTTTTGAGGGTCCAAACCTCACTGGCTCTTCCTAATTTCAAGTGTTCATTTTGTATCTCTGTCCCTCTGGGGCCTCAGCGGGGGATGTGTTTCTAACATTTCAATTGTTAATAGTGGTATCAGGTCCCTGAACCTTTGTCCTACTGAACAGTTGCATTGAAAAGCTTGTGGATGGCTATGAGGGATTTAATTTTTTTCTTTTTAGAATTTTCACACATGGAGACAGACGTATTCCCTGAGAGATCATTATTTTATGGTGCCTTGAAAAAAAGGACTCCTACTTGAAGTGCTACTAGAGCAAGGAAAATGAATTTTGTTATTCTGAAAGAGTTTGCAGGAATTATTTTAATAAATGAAATGTTCTTGTGTTCTTATAAAAGCCAAGCAGGACACTATTGAGCCACAGCTCTCTGAGGTTGCCTTGTTGCGGCTGTGGAGTTACTTCCCAGTTGACTTTAGGGTCTGAGGTGCGCTGGCTGGGGTCCAGGAGGTAAGTGGCCAGGTCTGGGCTTAAGAATGGCCACTGTCACACTGCACTGTGGGAGGGTCAGAAGTTCCAGCAGCTCCAGGGGACAGGTGACGTCTGAGCATGGCGACCTTTCGTCACCTGGATCTCCTCACCTGGGAGGTGACAACCACGTCTACTCTGAGACCAAGATGGCTCACAAGGAAAGGGGTGGGGAGGCAGTTTCCAGGGTCCGCTGGTGAGTGGAAGGACAGCCAAAAGGGCCCAAGGCCCTGGGGACCACAGTTGCTCAGGGAGAGGCCCCCCCAGTCCTGTGAGCTGCTGCTGCCCCTTGTCCCTGGACTGAGAGTCTCAGGTTCATTTCCAGAAAATCTTGCCTTGGCACTGGGCCACTCCTTAGTCCAGGGGAACATCTGGATGCTGAGGCTTTTCCTTACTTCTTTCTTCCACGGTTCCACTTCCTTTCCTCTCCCTCCTTTCCTTCCACCTGCTCTCCCTACTCCTCTCCCACGCAGGCATTATGCCAAGATCTGGACACTTTAAGCAGCATAGCCCATAACTTGAGTAAACACTATTTGGAATCAGCACTTTCCTCTGAGAAGAAAGAAAACAAACCCTTGTGAGCATCTGGGGCATGCGGGGCCCCCAGTTAGGCAAACTCGCTGTACACCTTTCTCTGGAGCACTCCCTATTCTGGGGAGCAGATGAGACAAATGGGCAAGGGGGGGCTGGTGGCTAGAGGACAGGGCCGGAAGTCCTAAATATGGTCACAACCTCTTTTCCTTCTTCCTTCGAAAAGGAAAGGAAACCACACATTTTAGGAAAAACTAAGAGATGAGAGGTCACTCTAAGTCCTATGGGTGGGTCATCATGCATCTTCAGTTAATCTGATGCTAAAGTCAAATAAAGATACCACTAGAGGAAGAAAATTTGTAGACCAATGCCTTGGGAACACAGAAAACCAGCAAACACAGAACCCAGTGGCTTATATATTTTTTAAAGATTTATTTTTGCATACAGAACTGGGGTACAGGCCAGAGATGCAGGAGTGGTGAGCAGATTCATCAGAGACAGAGTGGGGAGCAGAACAGCCGCGCTGACAAAACTACACTGCTGAGGGGAGCAGCAGGTGGGTCAGGAGAGGTCTGCTGCGCCATGTGGGTCATCTCTGGGGCGGGGATCGAACTCATGCTGAGGTGGCTTTAGATTCTTAATGCTGCGCTTTAACCCTCTGCACCACCTGGGAGGGTCCCCAGTGGCTTATTAAGGCCTGATCCAATGTGGATGTGTAGTATCCATCCAGTGATGCAAGGGTGGTTTAGATGTAAAATTTACAGGACCTGCCACATTAAAAGTCACAGGGCAAAAGCACAGAATCATTTCAATTGATGCAGAAGAAGCATTTGACAGTAACCAATACTTTTCATGTTAAAATGACTCCAAAAACAAGGCATAAGAAAACCACGTCAGAAAAGTAGAAGACATACATAGAAAAAGGAAAGGAGAAGCCTTAGGTTTCACCTAGAGAACACAGGAGACAGGTTCTGGGGAGTTCCTCCAGCTTATCTGGAAGTCTCAGTGCCGTGGCACCAGCAGTGGCAGACTGGACTCGGGACCCCTGGTGACACGGTGGGGGGGCTGAGGCTGCTGGGTGCCCCTTACTACAATGGGCAAGTCGCTGGCATCGCTTGTCTTGCTGAGCTCTTGCAACAGGGGACAGGGGCAAGAAGGTAGTTGATTTGCTTTTCTCAGCTACCTGGGAAATTTACACAACAAAAATGGGCATTTCAATAAAAGGAATATCTGAATGACTGTGTGTGCCCTGACCAGGAAACTGAACTAGCTGACAAAGTCTTTCTCTAGGGTCTGATTTTTATTAAACAGAACTTGCTTGAAAGTGATAGGAGTCCAGATTAAAACAGTGTTAATAGAAAAGAGGATGTATTATTAGGTAAGTCTAGAGTTGTTCCAACTTCAGGCTGTGGGGGAGGGTGCCAGATCGACATGCTTGATATCTCTTCTAATTTTCTGTCTTTCAGTTGTTCCTGCCTCCTCCACCCCAAACCCCTAAGTGGCTTTTCTCAGGCTGACGCAAGTGGAGGCCAGGTGGTCCCCACTGCTTTGGTGTCCATAATAGCCTTCAGCACATGGAGCCCAGGGCTGAGGAACCCTGACTGGGTGTGCAGGTATGAAAGGGTCAAACCTAAGGTCTCAAGCCGTTCACCTGGATGTGGCATATACCTTCCACTCACACTCCAGAGTGAGGAATCTCCTTATTACCTTAGGTGAGAGAGCAAGAAGATGTAACCTTCTCTTGTATGCCAGAAAGGGACAAGGCATTATGGCAGCTAACTCTGGACTGGCCTGCCATAGCTGGCAAGACCCAAAGACGTCTACCCTAGCCCTTGACCTCCCCACCTCCCAGGTGTTCCCCTGTTCTGCTCTCAGCTAATAATCAGGAAATGCAGCTGATGTCAAGATCATGATTTTTTTTAAGATTATTTATGCATACAAGAACTGGGGTACAGGCCAGAGTTGCAGGGGGTGAGCTGATTCACCAGAGACAGAGTGGGGAGTAGAACAGGCAGCCGACTGAAATACACTGCTGTGGGGAGCAGTGGGCGGGACAGGAGAGGCCTGCCATGCCATGTGGGTCATCCCGCCCACACACACACCCTGGCCAGGTATTGAACTGTGCCACAGTGGCTGCAGATAGCTTCTTAGTGCTGCGCTTTAACCCATTGTGCCACAAGGGAGGGCCTTCCATGGTCATGATTTAGAACACTAGTTCTCAGACTGGCAGTCCTGGAACCTAGGTGGTAGGGGTAGAGATGGGTGAGCTATTATTATTAATATTTTATATCCCTCACTGGAAATCATTTAATAACCTGTTCAAAGTCCACCCAGCAGTATTTTTGCTCCAGACTGGCGTTAGGTCAGTATAGTGTAGAACCCTATCAGAGGGTTCTACCTGGGTTTCTTTTGGAGAAGGATCCGTTATCATCCTTCGGTTTATTTAGTAAGGTGTCTTCCGTTTATTTAGTAAGGTGTCTTCGGTTTATTTAGTAAGATGTCTTAGGGTACTTAGAAGCAGAGGCTGAGATAAGGTCTCTGGGTAAGTGATTTACTGGGGAGGATCCTAGGAGAAACCAGTAAAGAGGTGAAGGAAGCAAAGTACAACAGGAAGAAACAAGGCAACTCTCTCAGTTGAAATCTAACCTCAGCCTGATGCTTAGGGGAAGCTCTGGGGCTTGAATGGCAACTTAGACTTTGTTCCACCTTGGTGCCAAGGCCAGTCATTGGATGTGGGTCATCCCTGGGAGGGTGGGGAGGCAAATAACTGCCTTAGCAGCCAGCTCTAATCAGCTGGGGCTAGTTCACTTGGAGGTTTCCAAGGCAGATTCTTAGGGGTGAAAAAGGTTGCAGTTCATGGGTTCTCGCTACAGCTTTCTCCCTAGTAACTATTCCTGGTAAACATTTTAGTACTAAAGGAGTGACTCATTCTTTGCAAATTATGTGGTGTTTGGGGGAAGAAATAAAAAAAAGTATAAAAATGTATGTGGAAAAAAGTCTTCCCTCCAAATCTGTTCCTGATCTGGACAATCGCTCCTCCACTGTCATCCTCAGCCACTGTTATTAGCTTCTTGTGTAACTTCTCCCTGTCTCTTTAATCATATGTCAGTGAAAACAAACATAGGTATTTTTTTAATGTACTTATTTATGCATACACAACTGGGGTGCAGGGGCTGAAAGGATTCACCACAGAGGAGGGAGCAGAACAGGTACATTGACAGAAATATACTGCTGAGGGGAGCAGTGGATGAGGCTGGAGAGGTCTGCCGCTCCATGTAGGTCAGCTCCGGGGCCAGCGATGGAACTCCGGCCTTAGTGGAGTTGACAGTGCTGAGACTTTAACCTCTGCGCCCCCATGGAAGTCCATAACTATTTATGTTTGCATTTTGTAGATATGCAAACATCTGGGGGTACAGCCCCAGAGATCAATTGTTGTGGCTAAAGGTGTGCCCACTGTAGTGTAGTTCATGTAGCTCAGTTCCCCAGCAAGGTGTGGGAGTGCCCGTCTCCTCACCACCATGCCAAAGTGGTACTGCCATGATTCAGGATTTGGGCCAATCTGATGGGGGAGAAGTTTCTTTTTACATTTCTCTTGTTATGTGAGAAAAAGAGCTTACATGTCCTTTCGTATGCTTAAGGGACGTTGGTAATTCCTTTCACTATGACCTGCCCAAATGGCCTATGACCTGCCCAAATGGCCATGTTTCTCTTGGGTGGTTGGCCTTTTTTCTGTCCAACTTCTAGGAGTTTGTTTGTTTAAATATATCAGAACATTTAGCTCTTTGTGATGGAAGTTGCTGGTTTTCCTCCCAGATTGTCATATATCTTTCAGTTGTGCTCATGTTGGCTTTCCTTCACCAGACAGAGTTTTATGATTTTTATGTAGTTTGGATTGATCCATCTTTTATGGCTGCTGGAGACTGAGTCGTAGTTAGAAAGGCCTTCCCACTCGAAGGTTATATTGGAATTCTGTCATGCTTTTTTTCTAGGGCTTTAATGGTTTCATTTCATCACGTATAAATCTTTGATCGTTTGGACTATTTCCTGGTATATAGTGGGAGGTATGGATCCAACTTTATCATTTTCCAGATGGCTGACAAGAGATATTTTTTAACAGGGAGCCGGGCCAAAACACACCAGAGAACACTTTCTTCAGGAAAAGGTCGCGTGCCTCAGCAGAAGGTGTTGCAAATTATAGTAAGGAGCCGTTTTCTTTAATTAGCAAAGATTCACTTGTTCAACAGATATTTACCAAGTGTCCGCTGTGTGCTGGGTACTTTTCTAGATAGGGAGATTAGAAAGAGCA